AATTTGATTTCAGAATTAAAATATCATTTTTATTTAAAGGTTGCTTTTAGTAAGTAATATGTAGTAATTTTTTATTACCTGAGAATGATGGCTATCAATGGTTGTTTTTGCTTCACCCGCTTCTAAGAATATCCATTTTTTTACACTTATTTGATACCATTCTAACCAATAACTTAAAATTATCATTAGATCTGCGTTGTGATAATGTGGGCCATTATCTGAAATTACTGAGATCCATTTTGGTTTGTTTTCTAATGATTCAATTACTGCATGTAATGATGAAGCAGTAAACCAAGAATCTTGACGTGCATCTAATGACCAATGATCATAAGCATGAACTTCAAGTTCTTGAGATTTTGATTTTTTGGTATACATTAGAACTGTATGTAATGTCCAACCCTTTTTTCCAAAAAATTCTGCCTTGGTCTCTCTAGAACTTTTTGGAAGTATTTTCATTTTGTAATCGACAATTAATATCGCACCATTTTCATCTAAATCTAGCAAATTAGCATTAACTTGAGCATTCAAATAGACTTTACGAGCTTGATGAGCAAGATAATATAATAAATGACTTCGATACTCATCAAGATCGTTATGCAAATTTATAGAAATTTCTTCTTCAAGATGTTTAAAAAAGGTAAATAATTTAGCACATTCTTGAGAAGCATGTGTATGTTGTTCTGTACAAACTCCAAACGCCCATAACAAACAAAAACTAATACAAGAATTATGGTTTGTTAATCCTTGATTATTAACAACTATATTTTTTTCATACTCTTTTTTTAGATATCGCTGTAACTTTTCCAAATCATTAAGAAAGTGTTTCTGAAAAATAAGTGAACTTTAATATTAAAAAACCAATAACACTAAATTACACCATCAGTGTTCAACGCCATATATATTTTTTAATAGTTGTGCTAGTAAAATTTAGAGTTAAGATGCTGTTGTAGGTTAAGGTAAGAGGCAGTATTAAAAGTAAAATTTAGATTAATATAAGATTTGTGAAGGAGCTAAATATTTTTATTTAGCATATCTAGCATTAATTATTTAACTAGCTTTTAAAATATAGCAATTGGTGTTGAACATTATTGGTATAATTTAGTAAAACTGTTAAAAAATAGTTGTATAAATTTTAGCTAAGTTTACCTTTTTTATAATATCTGTAATTTCACTTTCAATTAACTTTCTAATATCATCAAATATTTCATATCCATAACGGCTACATGTTGAACAAAGACCACCTAGATCTTCTCGATATATATATTCACTTCCTTGTAATTTTGTCATAAAGGTTGTACGGCAAATCCCATCAGGAAACTCAGTATGAAACTTTTCCCAAAGTGCTTGTTTTGTATCACGAAGGTATTTAATTGGTGTACCATTTTTACTTGTTTTATATGAACTCATAATTACATGTGCTTTGTCATTAATAAAATTTTCGAATTCTTGCAATTTATTAGTAGGTAGTTTTTCACGTGTAAATGAAGGTTTTCTTATTGTAGAATTACCAGGTCCATATAAATGATAATGAGTACGTGCTTTTGATATTAAGTCATTTGAAACCTAATAAAAAATTATTTAGTAATATAGATATAAAAATTATATTTATGAATAATAATTACCGATAAGTTCTTTTGTAAGTCTTTATATTTAAAATCATTTGCTACAATTGATAATATTCTTTGTTTTCCGTTTTCTCCATTTTTATTAACCATTAGACTTTTATTAAAACAACTCCAAAATATATTAGAAGAATCAATTGGTTGAGTTATTATAAAACCGAGTTCATATAGCTGGTTTAATACATTTTGTTCAGTATCAGGATTTGGTGATCTAGTCCAAAATTCATACTGATAAATTATATAAGTTAGAATAAATTTATTTTTAAAAATAGATTTATTTTTACTATATTTTTTTATTTACCTCTGGATTTTGTTTTGAACCTGGTGTTATATTATTGCATCCTATACTACGAAGCATCATTCTCCATGCATTTAGCTCACGTTCATTAAATTGATATTCTATTGGATATAATTGTTTGAGACTACTATGCAATTCAATTATCGTTCCCTGTTCTTGCCATTCATTGAAAAAATTTTGCCAATTAATATTACTAATAGTTCGTCGTTTAAGGTGATAATAAAAAATTTTTTCTATAAGTGTTTTATTATTCCAATCATCTAATGAACATGATGGAATTTCTAAAAGTTGAAGTTTTTGTTGTGTTATATTATTTTCAATTCCAAATAATATTTGTCCTGTAAATTTTGATAATTCAGTAATTTTTATTTCTAGTTCATTATGAATTTTTTCCCATACAAGATTTGGCGTATAGTCATAATATAGTTTTTTAATTTCAGCTTTTTGTATTATAGTTACTTTACATACATCTTCTTCAATTTCTTGAAGAAATAAGCAACGTTGCTTTTCTAATTGAAACAAAAAACTTGACTTAAACCCTATACCAGCATATCCCAACAAATTATTGTTAGACCGTGCAAGCCCAAATACAAAAATTTGAACTAGTTTAAGATCAATAAAATATGGTTGAAATAAAACTCCTTCTAATAGTTTTTCATATATATCCGGTTTATTAAATCCCATTACTAAAGGACCAGAAAATCTTGTTTTAGTACGGAAGATTTGTTGATAAACTGTGGATATTGCATTAGTACTAGAACTACTTGGTTCAGTATTATAAAAAGAATTACAGTTGCAAAGATATCCAGGTTGTTCAGAATGTTCATTATTACCTTTTACAACTGTTAAAAAAAAGTTGTGCCCGTTCAAAAGTGTCATAGTTCTCATATGTAAACGAATAGGAATCAAAAATTCATTACAAGCTGTCCACCAATTATGTGAAAATGGTCCATAGTGCAAACTTGAGTCAATAATTCCTGCTGAAATTAAAGAAACTTCGTAGTTTTTATTTTTTGCCATTTAAAATAATACTTAGTAATAAGGCGGTAGAGATTCTGGCACTTCTTGGTTTACTATTTAAACGTATATAATTATTAACCCTGATTATTATTATAAAATTTCTCTGATTGTTACACGAATCACGAATTAATTTTTTTGTTTAATTTTTTTAGCAACTCCAAATTAGGTAAATCATTTAAAATCTGATCATCAATTGTCACAGTTTGAAATTCTTTCTTAGAGATTTTATTTACAAGCTTTTTTCGAATGGATAATATCAATGTTATAATTCCACTTAAAACTATAAAGCTTGATGTTGTGATAAATCCAACTTTTCCAATTATTTTTTTTTCATTTCCCCACAATAATACTGCTCCAATAATCATAGTAAAATTCGCTCCAAGTAAGTTTATTGCAAGTAATTTATTTCTTTTAACTAAATGTTCCAAAGCTTTCATATATTCTTTTTTTAACTCTAATATATTGTGCTTTTTTTCTTGAATATTTTGAGAGTAAGATGGAATAGTCGTCATGCTAGGAGTTTGTTAAAAAATTTTTTCAATAAAAATAATCAGAAGAAAAGATTTTAAGGGAGGCTCAGGTATTATGACGCACCTAAGAATGCTAAAAGTAAAAGTCCTCAAGGAAATATATATTCCTAAAATTTATAAAAATTTTATTTAAAAAAAACAATTACATTCTTTTTTTTGAAGTATTTTAAGAATACAGGGAAATTTGTTATTAAAGGGGAACAATGGATAAAATATTATTGACTGATCAGAATTTATAAAAATATAGATATGTATATAATCCTTTAAGTTACTATCGTCTGAGATTATCGCTTTATGCCAAAGTGTGGTTCAAATTGAACTTCTTAAATCGAATTATTTCTGTCCCTGCACTCATCCTCTCTTCTTGCTAAAAACTGCACTCCTTTAAATTATAAGATGATTAGAAATTAAGTCGAATTTATTTTAATATTCTCATTAAGGAGGAATAATGGAAATAATGTTTTTAGAATGTCGATGAAAATTATAAATGAAAAATGTCAATGTCAATGTTTTGTTTTCTGTTTGTAATAAGAAGAATTCATCACGTAACATATTCCAATCTATTCCAAAGCATTAATAATATACACTTTCAAGATGTCCGTGAATTTTACCTTCAAAATCTTCAGAGAAAAAGGAGTAATATATCAGAGTT